TAATTAACCGAAAAGCATGTCGTATCCCAACTGAAATTCTGCCCCCACGGATGGACTAAGATGCGTAAAATTGTGTCCAGCAAGCAAGGTTGATTAATCCCGTCAAATTTGTATTCTGCCTGTGTCCACGGATGTACAAACAGTTTCGGCCATTAATTGAATACGCATAGGTCCCCACGAGGCCTGCTCGGGAAATTTCTTCGCAAGCGCGGCCGACTCGAATAAGTTTCCTCGAAGGGCTCTTTTCTCACAACCACTTGCAGGGTGAGAGTGCCAGAGGCGGTCAAACAATGACTTGGCAGCGAAGCGTGAAAGCCACTACCAGCAAACTCAGCTGCGCTGGTCATTGCCCCGTCTTCCTGGATGGAGACCCGAGACGGGCCATTTCAATGTTAAGAGACATTGTCAGACATGGCCTAGTCGCGCCCTCAATGACGCTCATACATCCATGCTATTGCCTCCAATGCCGAACTCTCTTCCCATTTCTCAAGTCCACTGACAGTGCTCTATTTACGCACTAATTTTTCAGCTCCCACCTCCTATGCGCAGCTACCTACTCCACCTCCCTGAATCATCGGTGAACGAAACTATGGCAACGACAACCACTGGACGACAAGTATGCGGTTAGTACATCTGACAATGATGTTGATGAACCACGGTCTGGTACGCATCAACTTGGAAAAAAGTCCTTCGCCGTCCAATTATGGAGACAATCAGAGCAGATGTTGCAAAGTCGTGCAAACGTAGACTTTGTCCTCATGTCACCCAACGAAATACTTAGTTAGATAAAATCAGTCAGACACAAAGCTTGAAATATGGACCTATGGGCTATGTCACAAGACCTAAAGCACTTGATTGTCAGCTGTGGAAAACCATATGAGGTAAAGGGGTTACTATGATGAGATGACTATGAATGGATGAATTTGGATGAATTTCTAGAAGTAAATATTGTGCCACATAGAGCGGACATCCGACTGGAACCTGTTCTGTCAGTCTAACTGCATGGCATGAAGCAAAAAGCTGCCAGTTTATCGGAATTTTGACCGTTAGGGGGTCGTCGGAAGCAACCAATGTTCCATAATATCACTCAGTAGAACTCCTCAAATAAGGTAGAAGGGTCAGAGATCTAGCCAATAAAAAATGGAGGAAAATCCAACGTGCACTACTCTTTGTGTGGTATTGATTCTCAACAGAGTTCATCAATTTCATCGCCGTCTGATGGTCCAGATTCTCCATGATTTCCGCGCGACTCATCTCATCGTTTGACACACGTCGACGAATTCCATTATTCCCTTGTGGGCACAACCCCTGAACCCACCGCTACGCATTACTACGTTCCCCAACAACGCACTGATGATGTCATATCGATTGGTGATGAAACGTTTGCAGTCAAATCGCCCAGATCAGCCAACAAGCCAACGACCATCTACCCTGCCTGAGCTACCAATGTTTTCCTCTATACAAAGCTATATTTTCTGCAGCTAATAGGGTAAACTTTTAACCAATAACATTTGCCTCTTGTGTTCTACCCTTGGCCTGCTGCCATGACGAAAGTAACGAGTTTTCGAAAAGTCCCAATTGACGTTAAATGAAGCCGAGTGCCTCAGTTGTATGGGTAATAAAGTACGTCTCAAATAGTTTCGTCCGCTTCTGTAATCACCAAACTTATAGGTTGCGTTGTATGACGAAAGAAAAACGAGTCAAAACTTCTCAGGCAGCTCTACGTATGTGTTAAACCTGCGGAATGAAACCTGATCAGCTTGGCCTCCCGAGAACGACCTTAGACCAACGATCGTCCGGGGATCAATAAATCTACCGCAGTTAGCCAGTCATCAGCGTACCCACTGGACAATTCGGCCTTCAGGGGTTTTATGATACCACTGAAAGACTTTCCACTGACGTATCACTCTGTTCGCTCCACAACGACACACAGACAATATCTCCTCGACGAATGATGATACTACTACCTAGTTGACAGCACAGTGAACAAACCGACGGGCCAACTGCGCAAACTAAGCTACAAACGTTCTCAATGGTCTACCTAAATTAACTCGAGGATCAAACTGTGCCGGAAAATCTTCTCCGTTGCTCGTACAATAAAAAAATACAAAAGTCACTCGTCATATTTACAGTAATGACGATGATGACAGTAAAATGACTGAAGTCGTGCAATTTGCGCTTCGGGGAGACGATGCACTTCAGTGCCCAAAAACGTGTGAATAATTTATAAGCTACTCGCAAGTAGCGAGATGAGAGTAGGTTAAATACAGGATGTAGCATTTAACCCAGTTTCGACGTTTGTAAAACACCGCTAGGTCATTGAAATCAGCGTTGTACGATCTAAGAGCGTCCGAAGGCCACAAAACCACACCAGGTGAGGCCGAATCAAAGGTCCTAAATGTATTACAACTAGGTGCATGCACTTGAGGTGTCAAAACGACACTTCACGCTTTACGAAGCAGTTTCAACCGCAGGATTTTGTGGCAGATCTGAGTTACCTAAAGCGCTAAGCTGACTGAGAATGTGGCAGATGCGGCCAACATCTACCTCCATACCATCTTACAGAAGATTACTCTTGATTCGATTTATCCGAATCGTCTACCCTATAGTAGAAGCGATTTGTGATACACGGGACAAGTGGCGACTTGTGACTTTTCGACCCTGTTCTTTGGACAGTAGCTAAAGGTCACCATCGAAGAACTGGTCCAGATCTACCCAGATATATGAACGGTTTGCCTAAGCAGTGCCGGCAGTGAATATCTTGGACCCTTACGCCGTAAATGGCTGCCAAAAATATCCGCCTCAGTGTTGAATGTACAGAAACGCGATTAAACAAATCGCGGATAGAAGTAAATTCAACAATCCGCTGCACAATTCAGGCAAGGAGACATTTTTACCTGAGCCTTGTGTGAACCATAAATTCGTCTCTATCAGTGTTTTAGTCTACGGTCGTCCCTCGTGCAAATCACAAAGCACTTTCTGTTAGCTTTCGTGTACAGAATTGCCGGACGGTGTAGCTGCTATAACAAGAGCTTCTGACCGATGTGTTCGTGATTCCAGTGCAACATCATAGGCTGATTTCTGTGTCTGAGCGGTGTGATATTACCTCATCTTTGGAGTTTAATGGCAGCTGCTTGTACTCACACAGGAGATCTTGGATTGAAGCACTTGTTTCCGAATAAATATACACAATAGATGAGGAATAAAAAAGTTGATAACTAAGGATGACAGGAACACTCTGCTGGTATGACGCTATCACCTCCTAATTTCGATTTCACTGTAAATGAACTTGTCCCCCCAAAAAAATACTGAAAATCGTCACTCACGAATCGTTCCGGTTGAAGCTTGACCAGGAAGCGTTTACGTTTGAAACTGAGCTTTCGAATCTTGGCCCAAGAGAAGGTGTTGATTCGAATCAGGTTTTGGAACACCAGTATACCCAAGTGGCTGACTGCAAGGTTGAGACCCAAGCCTTCATGATTCTGAACGGGGAAACACTTGGAGTTTCAGTTAGTCAAATTATCAGGTTAGCCAACATGGGGCCCTATTCTGACAACGGTAAAGGAGTGATGACGAAATCTGGCATTCACCGAGGGAGTTCCCAGCATGAAATTGCCACATCCCTAGAACCATAACTAAATGCTCCTTCAGGAAAAAATCGGCATTGGTCTTCAACCTTGGGAAGCCATTCGTCAACAGCGACCAAAATGGCTCTCCACTCGCCTTCCCTCTCCTTGATGAGAGGATACTACATGAAATGGCCTCTTCTTAACTTCATCCCTGGAAACGGATGCCTCCGACGACTTCCAGTAGGAAATTCCTGAGGAAATCATTGTGAGAGGCATTGTTGCTGGTGAAATAGTTCATTTTGGGAAAACTCTTTGAGAGCATCAGTACTACGAACAAAAAAATTCATAAGAAATATTCACCTGGCCCACATTACGCCAGGTGTGGAAACACTCCTCTATGACGAGGAAACTTGTATAGTGGTCAGTCTTTTGGTCATCCAGCCTCAGCGAATCTTTCCAAACCGGACGATGTCGGCACTGAACCCAACAGAACCTCGGAAGCCAACGTAATGTTAAAGTGTCCTTTGTTGTATTTCATACCAAAACATGATGTAGACACACTGGGAGAGCAAACAGTGACCAAAAATAGCATGTAATGTGACAGTCTCAGCAGATTAACCCATCTTAACCGTTTTAGTACTGGTTGAGTGCGGAGTCACGCTTCAGTCGTTTATCGGAGGAATACGTTTCTCATCTCGACAGTGCATACATCTCTGCTACTGTTCATTTACGTCTTTTTTTAAACTATCAAGTGCCTAGGTGCAAGCCAAGAGATTTGAGTATAAACAGAAGCCATAGAAGTACCTCAACCCGTGTGCACTGTAAATTTCAGTGCCATGCTTTACTAGTTGTGTTGTTGAACAGAGTTACATGCCAATCTGAGCACACTCGTCCCGATATACTCCAAATTAAGCAACGTATTCTGGTAAGCCTGACGCTGAAACCTAAGCACATGAGTCGCAGTCATCCCAATGCCATCTAATGGGAGCTATCAAAACTCCGCTTCACAGAAAAAACACCTCCTGATTCGATCTTCCAAATTCAGCAAAAATGACAACCGAGTAGTTGGAAATCTTTCTGACGGCTTGTTTGAACTGCCAGTTCATCCGGCAAAGTCGTTGTGAGCAAAATCTTGGTTTGACCGGGGTCCGGTAGGGTTTCAGTGGATAGGATGGAATCAGGTGAAATGTGTACCAAAAAATACAAAGCAGTGTACGAATGATGTATGGGTGGTCACGCACGAAGCATCAGCCGATTCCTTGTGGGAATAGCAAAATCAGTGAGCTGCCAGATCACGTGGTCGCACTCCTGCTGTAGTGTTTCAACGAATGTGACCTGAAGTTTGGTATACCAGAATTTGGTATCTGGATATGAAAAGTCGTCCGCAGTGGAGGGACCCTGAACCCTGAACCGTCCGCAACTACAGAATATTTGTAGATTGACGGTGGGTGGATCTAGAAAGGAGACAGAAACCGTATTCCTGCAAGGCCAGCTATCCAAAAGATACGCTACGTCTCTATGTGCCCATTTAGTAGAACTTTCATATTTACTTGCAATGAACTGGTACACTTGCTTTCATATGTTTTCAGGCTCATAAGTCGATACTGTTGAATGTTCTGGATAGACGGTCTTAAACGGCCGACAGCTTCCAAGAGAACCAGTGCTTCGGGAGGCAACCGAAAAGTGGTCTTCTATGGGGGGTCTGTGCGCAAGAGAACAGTTTTAGCAGAAACGGAAATTCTCTGGCTTAAGTGGATCAAAGAAGCGCCTTTAAAAGGCCCGTCAACAGTTATTATGACGGATGCGTCATGCAATAGTTGGGTCGAACCAGCCCACATCAAATGAAACTGGTGGAAGTGATAGTATTTTTTTAGCGAAATACACTCATTTGCAAACAATTTTGGTTTTGCAAGAGACTCACCTGGAACCCAGCTGAATCTCTTGTTTACAATGTTTTAAGCAACTGATTGTGCTGCACCAGGCCGCCTCATGTTTCAGTTGCTGCGATATTCGAGATATCGCGACATGGAAGTAGTGTATTACGTCTATGAAAGTAGTACTTTTCTTATAAGCTAAGCAAAGCAACTCACGTGGAAGCTTTCCAACGTTCTATGTATTTTTTTAAACTAATGGCTAACAAGATGTCATGTTTGTCGTATAGAAAGCACACGGTTTACAGTGTCAAATCAGTTCAGAGTGAACAAGTTGACAAGAAAAACTATAGACTGGTAGACACGCCATTAAGCGTGCTTTTGCAGACAACACAAAGCAGTGATGTTGATGACGATGATTGACGTAGCTACAGGTGATTCAACTCACACGAACAAAGTGAAGACGCAGTCCGTAGAATTCCACCTTTCGCGCGGTGTCCAGAAGCGCCAGATCGGCCTCAGACGGAGACAGTCCTCTGGAAGTGGAAAAAGGTAGATGTAGCGTGGAGAAGACAAAGTGCAGTTCACTTATCGGATACTGTTACTTTATGACTGTTTCAGTGACATGATTTAGTTGAGTTGAAAACGTCGGGAGACGAATAATATATGATACAAACCCGAATTTACCGTGTAGAGAAAGATGCTGATTCTCAGAGTGACAGATACATGACTCACTAGCATACTATGTACGGGAGCGAACTGAAGACGAGAATCTGGATCAATTAAAAATGACGATGATGAAGCTTGGAGATATCAGCATCTTAGTATTGATTTATTTTCTTCGCGTTGTATAACCAGAACTCTTTATTTGCATTGATTACCTCGGTGCTCCTGGCGTATACTTGCATGACCGCTTCGCGACAGCATTTACCGCTGAGTAATTTATGAAGAAGACTTTGACGGCATTGAGGATGATGACGAAATTGTTTTCGTAAGACTCGAGTGGCAGTTCGTATGCTGGTCCCTCTAGAAGAAGTTCATTAAGTAGGGCTTTAATCAAGTAAGTCTCTATACACAAAGTAGGTGGTCCTCCGATCCGTCGTTGATCTCTCAAACTGTCGACAGTCCTCAACTGCTCAACCACCGTGCACCTGTGCACCGATGACCTTAATCTTCATCAATGTTAATACCCACGGCTAGAGGATCGACTGATACTTATTTGTTGGCGTGGTATCGGGAATAATCTATGAACTGTAGGTCCGTTTATCGGTCACCTGTCGGCAAATGTCAACCTACCTTGATTCCATGAAGTGAAACTTAGTGACTATTTGGCCACAAACTAAAGGTGACGTGATAAGCACAAGTAAACTTTAGTTAATATCTTGTTTGACGGCATTCAGTAAATAAAAAATCATTCAGCTGCGGCACCCTTTCGTTGTCTAACTGCCATGCCACCTGAAGGAACTATCAGGGCTGCGATACTGCCAGGTTACCAAAGCTCAGACGGAATTCGAGAGTTAGGGGTCAGCTTCAAACCACGAGTCATCCGGTCAGTAAATTCGTGCTCGACATCTCGCCTTGACTTTATGAGAAAACATACTTATTCCGGATAACAAAAAAGCTTGATGGACAGTTCTATGGAACCTAAAAACAAATGTATATCTCCCAGGTATCACTTGCTCAGAATTGTGCCTAAACTGACGAAGCAAGATCTAAGAAAACGTTAAAACCTAAACTCCGTTTCTCGCAATTATGCGTGCACCTGTGAATTGAGAAAAACAGGTGTAACGAATATTGACGTGTATAAGCTTGCTCACATCCCTAATCAATGTCGGTAAACAGAGGACTATGAATTGCGCGCGTGAATGTATCTGCAGCTTACCTGGAAGTGAAAGTCAGGATTACCTTAATCTGATAGAATTTACATAGTTACGAAGAGTTGCGGGAATCCCCAAGTGTGTCGACACTGACTATACATAGGTGTCGCAGATGACGTCTAGACTGCTGAGGACTGATGAGTAGCACAGTCAGTGCAATCTATCACTTTCTGTGACCTGAAGAGTTCCGGTAAGAACCACTAAGTAACTAGAGTTCTCTCTGTCAAATAGCCTGGAGCAGAGGATGGACCCGTAATACACAAAAATGTCTGCATAAATCGGAATTCATTGACTGCATCGTTATTTCTGGATAACCAACTGGACAGGAACTTATGCAGCTTGTCGTGACACGGTCCACAATCATCGGCAGTCTAATCAATCCGTGTCATTGAATCAACAGAACTGTTTTGTACTCTATTTACATTCTAAGGTGACTTTTAAAGCCATTGTCTAAGCCTCAATGATGGTGCATCATGGGAGAAACCTCTGAGACTAGAAAACTTCCGCCCGTAATCAGCCAAGCAGTTATATCATACAGTTATAACTTACATGTGCGCTTTGTGAAATTCCATCACCCTTTGCAATCGGTCATCTGTAGGATCGTGCAATAGTTTCAGGGGACGAAGATATTCTATTGTGTGGTATTCTTCTTCCAAAAAATCACCGATTTCCGCTAAACAAGATGACAACAGAATAGAATTCGACAAGGTGATGTGGGCGAAACAGAGAAGCAACAGCAAAAAACCGAGCTGAAAAAGGGCAGGTTTTGTCTACAAGTTAGCCGACTGTTTGCAATACAAAGTCAAGCCAATCCCATGAGACCGAGAATTTGGATGAGGGTGGGCGCGGAGCACGCGCGATTTTATTCCAGCCTTAGTTGATTTTCCAAGTTTCCAGCACACTTCAGAGTGATCAGATCAAATAAAGAAGAATTTGTCATCCACTTTTCAAAAAAGGGTTGAGAATCAAAATCATGGTAGCTGAATGATACAGTGAAAGAAAGCTCTGATAGCTATCTGAACCTGTATAAGCGAGATACCCGGTAGTGGCGCAGCGGATAAAACACATCTCTTGAAGTCCCTAGGACTGACTCAGCCTCAAATTTATAAGATTCGCTTAGAAGTGCGCGTATTCCAGTCTCCCTTTTCAAACTTCAGACTAACCGGTGTTCCTAAGGAAGGGGATGAAAGGACGAGCGTATTTGTACTGGCTGTTCGAAAGACCACAAGTTTGACCAGGATTCAACAGTACACAAGTTCAACATAAAAACATCTTGTTTATGTCAGTGATTCTCGACAGCGTTCACAATATGTTCACACAAGACAAAAATCGTCAGTTGTCCAACTAAGAAATGAGGTGCATCAACGGCGAAGCAAAGCTCCAGTTCATATGGATTTAAGGATATATTTGCCTTGGAAACAACATAGCAACGCACAGACCCCCAAAGAGGCCAGTCTGAAATTAATTAGCCTGCATTGGAACTTGACAGTTGTGAATCTCAGAAGCCAATTCCTAGAATGATTAATGTGGAATTCCGTGGCCTCCAAGAATAGATTCATAAAAGTACTTCTCTTTCCATAAGCCATTCGAGAAGGCAGGATCTGAAGGGCATGAAAAATTGCTAAAAGAACAGAACGGACTAGAATGCTTAGGCAGCATTTCGGGAAGTGAAACAAAACTGAACGTGTGTTCAACTAGAACAAAACCAGACTGGAAAGGTTCTTATTACTGCGAAGATTGCGAAATTTACTATTCACCTTAGATGATGTAACTAGTTTCGTAGCTCTCAGGGGGGAGGAGATAAATTAAACTACATGAAGAAAATGGGCAAGAGAGGGAACATAGGGTTTGTGTGTTCATCAATGACAAGAGGAGACTGAACGGAGGGATGGACTACACTCATTTGCAGATCAATTTGGTTTTCACGAGAGGCTGGAAACTCTTCGACAGCCCACGGCCGGTTCCGCCCTTCTTGGGGCCCCAAAGGTAGACGCAGTCCCCGAGTTTCCGTCAACCCTATAATCTACTTGAACCCAAATTGGACTGTTTTCGAGAAATACATTCATTAGTAATTCGATTTGGTTTTCACGAGAGACTCAGATGAATCGTTTATGATATGGCGGAATATTTTCCGAACTGACTTCCTCCCGAACAATGATGCGGCTGACCTACCTAAGGACTAAATCAGCTGTTACACCCCTTCGTGTCTAACCGCCATGTTACCCGATGAAAGCACGAGGACGCCAGGTTGCCCCCGGTCTAGACAAGAGATGTCGAGAGGCAGATGTCCGGTTTGAAACACAGACCGTTCGGTCAGTAAATTCGCGCTCCGACCACTGAACCATCTCGCCTCGTCGAGAAATAAAAAGGCCCCAAAACACAAATCAAACTCATCAAGATGGTGAATTCATTCTCTCCGTGACCGCAAGTATATCAATGAAACAACTCCATAGAATTTGTCTCGTTTTGTTATTTTTAGCGAAGGAACAGGGTTAATTTATACCTAACGAAGCAGCTGATTGATTTAATTTGAGTGCAAGCTATTTTCCGTAGTAGCTTCTATCATTAGTGGAAAATTTCATTATTCAGACTATTCTCTTATAAGTTTCAGTACCTGCGCGAGCGATAATCAACGAAGAAAGTGTCTTACAGGCAACACGTCGGCATTAAATGAACTTTTGGAGGGTGAGGAGATGTTAAGGTCTGCTAGTGAAAGTAGCTTGTAGTGAAGGGTTGGAATATTGTTCGGTTTTATCCTAACTTGTCAACTGTCACGAATAGTTGCGGTGAACCCAACCTGGCTACAAGCAGCTAATTACCGGTGTAAGTAAGTTTCATTCGGGCTGAAGCACCACTGATTCTTTCAGAAGGACTTGGTAAACAAACGGTAGATTTTAACTCAGCAAGATCTTACACAACTGCTTCAGCGGGCCAGTTGAGCAGGTCACCAGGTCGGCCACCACTTCGCTCATAATCTGGTCTTAAATGACTCCTCAGGAGTCCACTTCTCATATGAAAAGCCTACCTAAATTGTTCGTCTTTTTTTCACTTTCAGTCCGGTGGGGAACTCTCACCGATGTCATTTTTCAACCACGGATACAGCAACCCTGAGCTGCTTGCCTTAAAGTGACTCTAATCATAAGGTGGAAAAAAAACTTGTCGACTTTACAAGTGTTATCTAATCAGGGAAAATGACTTTGTATATTTTTATTTCTGAAGTAGCATAAGTGAGAACCATTGGCAGGATGACCGGCTGTTATTTTGAAGACTTTCATGGAAGGATTGATCGGAATCATCAATGCAAACGAGCTTTTATCCAGGCGGCTAAGCACGTCTAAACCAATTTACATTTCAGTAATCAATAACTAACCTGTTAGATACATACGTAACTTGTTCGGTACAGTATCTAATCGCAAAAACGATGATTTTTCGACCGATTTAGATGGGAATGCGATACATGCTACCTACTGAGATCCAGCAGTAGACGGGAATGGTTGGAACAATTAAGCAGTATTCTCACATGCGTATAAAGAAGGTGTTCAGCTGAGTATCGGGTAATGAGAACCGCCACAAGGATTTAAGCTGAGACGAGGTCTGAGCAAGTGCTCGTCTACACGAACTCTGCATTCAGTGTTCCCCACTGGGCCCCTATGAGCTTGAAATGGCTCAGTTGCTAACGGCGGATTTACTGACCAGAAGATCCGTAGTTCGAGCCCAACCTCTGCACCTTCACTGCTCCTGTCTAGGCAGCCTGACAATATCTCAGCCTTCGTGCTTCCTTCGGCTGACCTGGCAGGATTTGTAACAAAATTCTGAGTAAACGAGTACATCGTACTCTAACCTTTGCTCGGTTGGCTATCACGACTGAGTTGCTATGAGTCTCCTAGTGATCCACCTAACATCAAGAGCATTTACCAGCAAGAATAGCTTAAGCGGCTACCCCCAATTAATGATCTGTTTTCAGGATGTCGGTGAATGATTTTCGCCATACCGATAGAGGCGGACAAAGCATAGCTACTGAACACCAATCGCTCAAACATAAGATAATAATAGCACTTTTATTAGGGTAACTCATGAAGGATCAACGATTCACAAAGCTCTCTGCAGTGCCCAACTTCCGTGACGGTCACTTTCAGACAGCTCATCAGTGGTGGATCCAATGAAGTTTCACCATATTTTAGTATCAAAAAGCTGACAAAGTGTGTTTGACTTTGTAGCAAAACAACTCTGGAACACTGGGTTGTACTAGCCCACATGGTGCAAAAAATCAAAATATCGTTAAGGTTTGAGAGGTCAGCACGTTCCAAAAAGTTGCATGATACCCTGCTCAGCAGACTGTAGAAATTGTAAGGCAAACGTTCATATACTTTATCAGTTGAAGCCGGAAACGTTTATGGTAACGTCCTGGAGCGCCGATTCTCCTAGAGCTTATTACAGCCATTCCTCTGTATGGAGGTCCATGGAAGAAGTAATCTGCATGGGATTATCCTTTATGTGGCCATGAAAATTCTCCTTATCAGATGGGCTTCCATGACGATTCACTCGATATTTTTTCGGAACTAAGTAAGTATGATCATCGGACTGGTTTCATCGCTCTCAAGAGCAAGTACAACCTCCCTATAGGGACCCATGTTTCCCAGAGGGAGTCTCAACATTTTCTGATCAGTAAATTTAAGAATATCGCGCTTTCATTATCAGTATTTACATCGACGAAGAAAGATTAGGCGAACAAACATGCGTTTTTTATCAATTCATCAATTCATCGACGTAGCCGTATTGACAGCCTATCCATACCTGAAACTTGAAGTCCCCAAATGCTGATGGGATCTTTCATGTCAAGGTTTGATGCTCGCAGTTTGCTGTTCGGGGTGAAGTTTGCCTACTTCCTGTTATATCTGTTGATTCGCCAATCTGTTGTATCTGGCTGCCGACCCGCTCCAGTGCCTAATGCCGGAAAAGACTCACAGAAGGGAACGCAACGGCTGTATTCCGAACAAGCGAGTGCGAGAGCGTGAGTGCGTGCGAGTGCGAAAGTACAACTGTCTCCAGCTATTTATTGGAGAGACTGTCTGAACTTAGTCCAATATTGGCGCACGCGGTCTGACTTTGGTACGAGGCTGCGACGTGCTGCATATTGCGGGGGCGTTTTCTGACGCTGATCAACGCTGATCTCGCTGCCGGCATTGATACAGGGCTTTGAAGCGCAGTATATTGAGGGGGTGTTGTCCGTCTGGTCAACACCTAGCGGAGCTGAGAGTCTCAGTAGACTTCGGGCACTCAGTGGTTGCTTTCAGGAATTTTACCTTCCTGATACTCCTCCCGTGAAGCAGTAATTTAGTTCTGGTGCAGATTATGAGATAGGTGTATTTCTCAACTGGATGCATCATTCGCACTGATACACGAAGAAGCGCTTCACAGTGGGTTACAATGATGCTTTAGAGGAATGTACAGTTCACTCTTTTTGGTCCTCGAGTCATACTACTCTCCATGATTGAACCACATTACAGTGCGTTTCGAAGGTAGCATCGATCTGCTGTTCCAAGATCACGAGCGACAGCTGGTTTAGCCAAAACAACCTTCCGATTCCTAGCTGCCATATCGTCCGAAAGACGTACGAGGACTGGGATACTGCCTAATCGCCCAAGCCGAGCCAGAACCCGTGACGATGCCGGGGTTGTATTTGAGCCCCAGACCTTCCGGTTAGTATAATGGCGCCTTAACCACGGAGCTACCTTAAGTTCTGAAAAAAAGGTGGTGTCAAAGAGAAAAGATGGCAGACAGTCTGTGGCAGTTAAGCGTCAATATGTATCCACGACGTGATGATGATCGACAGATGACCACCGTGAGATTCTCATGCTGATGACCACGAGCGCAGGACTGCCAATGAGGTTATAGCGGAGGTATCGGATTGTTGGCTCGCAGCCGCCTTAGATAAAACGGATCTCCTATATTGCTTCGGATTTTGTTGAAGCATGGCCTTGCGAAACGGTTAGAGCCTTTACCACGCGACCAATTGATACCGACACATGCCGTTAGGTTATTCCACACCACTACTCCTTATCGCAGCTGATTAACTTCCTGTCTCTAACCTTTTTCGAGAGTCCCGTGCTGTTATAGCGGCGTGGGTAAAATTTCTGATGTCACGATCCTGGAAAAAAGGTAGCAACGATGATGTCGGTAAGTGCTTTCAGCGCGTGCCATGGAGGTAGGCACAAACCGTTCAGAACAAGCGTGTAAGGCAGGGGGCGGGACTCTGTAATCTCATCGGATGTGCAGCTGATATGTTATGGGCTCGGATGTCCGGATGACCCGAACTACACCCCAAACGTTCAGCTGTAGCACCCTTTCGGTGCCTCACTACCATGCCACTAGAGGGAATCACGAGGGCTACATACTGTGAAGTTGCCCAAACCTAGACAGGGGAAGTCGAGAAGCAGAGGTTGGGTTCAAACCACGGACCTTCCGGTTAGTAAATTCTCGCCCCCCCCCAACCCACATACGGTATGCATGTTCTGGAGTAACAGTGCCCTTACAATAACGGGTAGGCACAAGGAACACCTAACAGTAGGACCAACTGCTGTTAACAAATCGTTTTAGTGATTACTGTGTTTTGTAAAAAGAATGTTGCAATCATTCCAAAATATGTCCACTCTAGAGAAGTCTTACTTGAGTATTTCGGTCGAGCTTTGTCAGTAATTGCTTTCGTTTCCCTAGGCAATAAGCCACAGCGTCACATGATACAAAACTCAAATTCTGTTCGACCAGGTGGATCGAAATTTGCATTTCCGCCTGTTGTCCTTCAAAATAACTCATTTCTTCAGAATAAATTACCTACCGCTAATGTGTGAAATGTCGCATGTGTCTGTGTGTGTGTGTGTGGGTACAAAATTGACTAGCTAGTAGAAGTGGATTGGGTAGTCCGAGTTTTAAGATACTGTCAACAACAATCGAAGTTTGGATTGCTGAGTGGTTTTTCGATCCCGAGAGTGTTAGGAAATTAGGTGTGATAGTCAAACGCAAAGACCGGAGGTAAGATAGACATATTAGTAGCTACGGTGCTTAGAGGTTGTGATACGTTAGACCAAACGAAGTAAGTGCAAGGACAGATGAATAGCCACGGCGAATCTACAGGAAGAATATGGCAGACGGTCACTATAAAAGTAACACAATCAAACTTTGAAAGTTCCCCTAATCAGTCCCGGACTGTTGTGTAAATTGTATGCTGACATCCAGCTTGGTTGAGAAGGCTGTGTGGGACACTTACACCTGTGAACAAGTTTCGTGAGACTCAAACCGTTCGTTTATCTGTGTGTACCTGTGTGTCTGGCACTCGTTGTTTAGTCATTATTCTGGCTGGTGGATCTCAGCAAGCTTGTCACGGGTTCAAACAGATGTCAGCCTTCCCCAACATATAGCTTCCAACAGACCACTTGTGACAAATCTTATGTGTACAGGGTATCGCGCTCGAAACTGGTCAGCGATCAAAGCGCAACGCAAGACGACAGAAGAAAAAACCACTCCACATGGTTTTTTACAGCTCAAAGTATGGTTTCTTACCCACAGGAACCAGCTTCGTTCTTCTGGGAGCTTCCTGGTAAGCTGATAGGCTGAAATGGGACTGTGGGCTGCAGTAACTAGAACGCTGTTCCGTAGGGCACAACAATGCCATGACGGCAAAGCGGAGCAGCCCGACAGGCAACTGGCTTCCGTAACAAGTACGGCAGTTATAATCGACGGTCTTGAGGAAAGTACTAACTAGTAAATTCAGTCTGTTTGACAACCACCGCCTTCTTGGATGGAGACTCAACCTATCACTAGTCAATGACATCGGCAGACACAGCCCAGTCAGTGGAGCTTCTGCATCCAAGCTATCACACTCACAGCGTGGCTGACAAATTTCTTGGTGCTTCAAATAACTTCCAAACCGACTAACTGATGATGGCATCGTTCCCAATGTTTGGGTGTACCTCCCTATACATCTTAAAGGCTATGGCAGTGCAGAAAATATGCCAAAAACGTCGCAGTTGTCAAAGCACTTCTCTGGCTACCGATCAAAGACTCTTTAAACTGCAGTAACACCCCTCGGACAAAACTCTCAGTATAGAGAGGTCAAAGTGGTGACCGTCAAGCGGGACTCGGGCAAAAGTTCTTCTCCAAAGCCAAGTGAAGCTCTAAAGTACACCAAAACGGTGGAACAAAGACTCCCAAACAGCGACCGCCAGTCGCTCTAGAGCAGCGTATATCATTGAGGATGTTGGAAGCCAGTTAATAACCATAATTTAGCATTTTAAGAAGGTCAAAATGGCTTCCAATGTGGCGATAGATTTACACCTCGGGGGTATTTGTGGAAATGTGCAGAGTCAGGTCACGTCGACCGCAACCAAACCGACCAAAAAGTAGTCGCCCAAGGGTGTAGATTGTTGTGAAGGAGCAAGTTAGGTTGGCTGCACTGTAAGTGAATGAGAAAAGACTACGGGAGTAAGAGGCAAAGCAACCGAAAGCCTTGTCTGCTCCCAGTCATGTGAAAATAAAAGGAGAGCCATACGTATAACGGAGAATAGGAATTGATCAGATAAAGCATTTCTATTGGCACAATCCTACACGGCAACTGTTTATTGTCAGAGTGACGGTTTGGACTCCTCAAGGTCTGAGCATAACTATGATACTTAGGCGGTACATGACAAAGGCGAAAATGATGAGTTCCAGTCCTTGCAAAGTTCGGTTATCTCCAGGAAAATTCAGAAAGACGCGTTCAAAGAGGAGATGGATATTCAGTTTTTGTAGACAAGATGCATATGAGAGTTTTACTTCCCTGTCCAATAGTCTGCAACTGTTCAGTTGGCACTTTCTAATAAATAGCTCTCCGTTGCGAAGACCCTCTTCGTTTCACCGGTCTTACTCTCCTCGAGGCCCAACAGCTTGGCCTTTAAGCGGGACATAGGGTCGAAGACCAGCTCGGTACTTCGGCTGCCTGGCGGTCCCTGGCTCAGCAGCAAGTTGAGAAGCATTTAGCAGTGCATTTCGTTGGAATATGTCCACCTGAGCTTTTCGTAAACATCAGTGGAATTCGCAAATGAGGCTTCTTCGCCAGTCTTGACTGCTTCCTGCTCACCGGTACAATGTGGTGTAAATTGTACACATCACGTGTTCATAACTCAAAATCAACTCATATGCACTAGGCCAACTCTTTTTGCTCTGATATCCTCTGAGTAAGCAACCAGTGCTTTTTATCCTTTTGGATGGTCGGTTGTTTTGATTGGTCGAAAACTGACCAAACAGGTGAGTGGTGCACAGATCACCTGGCCAATAATTGGAGCCTATTTCAGTCACAAAATAAATCATCCATTCTGAAACGTTGATTTACTCCAATTGAAAGGTTTTCACCTTTCTGGAAAGTAATACTTGATTGGTACAAGTGGTGGATGGTGAAAAAAAAATAGCCGGTAGAAAAGCTGGACCGGGCTGTTTGGTACCAAACTAGTGTAGTCACCTTATTTTTTTTCGGCGGATGACATAATTTTTGTTACCATTCACATCAAGACACGTGCTACCTTACGCCAAATACTGGCAGGTCTTATTCCAAACTCTGCTTATCACTTGAGACGAATAGTCAGCCCGAAAATTTGAAACCACCTGATAAATGAACAGGTCTTCCCACCCAACCAATTAGAATAAGGTGCATTCTGGTTTTCCTCACTTTCATTTAACCAAAATTTAACCGGTGGTCATTTGGTTATTTATAAAAACTTCACTAGGTGTACTGCTTGACTCATATCATTAACCTCTTCAAGAAGAGGCCAGCATCCTGAACAAAGCACAGTTGTGTTATCGGACACCAACAAACTAGCGAGTAATGCTCAGACTGGCGGCATCCCCATTCCCCTTTCTATGTGGCCACATTCCACCTCAGTCTACAAACGCAACACACTAATGAGTAAGTTGCTGATAACTCTCTGGCAACCAATGACCGGTTTTGTCCTTATTTGGCTCATCAGGTTGGCGCCAAACATTCGGTTTCAGGAGAGGGATTCATCTAGAATTCAAGCAAAGCTCCAGAGGAAAACAAACTAGCATCCAAATGATTGTATTTGCCTTAGTCTAAGAGAATAACATGAACATTAAAGTCACTGACAGGAGCTGAAATTTATCAGACATGCGTTCAATGCAGTTTTGTGAGTGGAGACACTACCGGGAGCGAAGCATCCTGTTCATTCTTCGGGGGTATTCACTACACAAGAGTGTGTTCCTAGGAAGTGAACTAAATGTACACGTGCGTGTTCACGCAATTCCTCACCTTGTACAACGTACGACGCAAGTAGGGCAGCAGTGTTCTCGCTGCAGAGCAAAGTACCCGTGACCAAATCGCGTTTGACTTGTAGTGCAAATAAGTACCTGAAACGAAAATGACCGGGAAATGTTTTAGGACTTCTCACCATTCAACACACAACTATGAGAGAATTATTTCCAACTCTCAGTCAGAACACAATCTTGTTTAGGGTTTGCTTGAACTTCGACACTCCAGTTCGGATGAGGGATTACTGAACTCAGGCAATTGGTCGCGGGAATATGCACTAACTAGAGATCTTTTGGTTCAAATCTCAAACTTTTCTGTAGTCTGTAGAGCCAAGCACTGCGTGAAAGATTATCCAGTCAACATGCGTATAAAAACGTATTTTGGATTACATTGCGACCCCTGAGTAGGGAAAATCTTCACCGCGGCAACCATGGCTGCGGATATCCTGATGGGAGTTCGCTTCGTCACCGGTCGCATCTTCCCTCTCACAAGTGCAAGAATGAACTATAAGTTAATTCGTTGACAGGTGCCCTGGAGCTACACAAACCATAGTGTCGCACTTTCGACAAAATATTCTTTTTTGCGGAAATAGTTTGGGGACTTTCTAATACTGATGAATCCCAGCAATCACTGTCAAACCCTTTGACTGCAAAGAGAGTACAGCAACAAGCTGATGGATGCAAAAAATCATGGCAAATTCACAGCTCAAATTCTAGCGGAAAGACTTGTTGTGTACATGTGGGTTATATAGACCGGAGTAGATGCAAGTTCCGGCTAAGGGCCCTGGCTCTACGTCGCGTAACATCAAAACTCCAAGAAAGGTCAACCAATGGGGTTGCAGATAGTTGTGGTGACTTTCAAGAGTGAGGAAGCGTCATCTCAGGGGTTTGGTGATAGCAGACAGACACGGATAGAGTAGACATGTAAGCCATCTACTTCCTATACTCGAGAGGTGTTCACCCCATGTGCAGTGAGATTAATCGCATCCGGAGCACTTTTGACTGGCCTGTAGTATAGGGAAGTTGTTCGGGTCATTGACTTCACGTGAAGGTCGTGAACCATAGACCCCTTGAATTAAAGTGCAGACGTCTCTGCTGAACCAACAAACTCCACTTACGCACCTCTTTACCTCTGCAAGTTCTAAACACATTGGATATCGGAAATATTTAAACAAAAAGCACCTGAAATAAAGATCAACTTGGGATGCGATCAGTGGAGTCGATTTGGTCTTGAGAAAGACATTTAATGTGCTCTCTAATCTCTACTCCTCAAACCAATTCTGACCGAAAAATCTGCGCCTTTCGATGTGCTTTCTTGAGATTTAAACGTCGTATATTGAAAGAGACCGCAGCGAGGCAGGTCCACTTTCATTCCCACGGTATTGACAATTGAAATCTCGCTTCTTAAATTCTATCAGGCAATTAGATGTTTTTGCAACGAATACATTTGAATACATTCTCTCTCAATTCTCAAACAAGGCCCGGGGAGATGATGCTCAATGGAAAGTGGCCTTCAGGAGAAAGCTGTAAATAAATCGTGCCTGACGAACAGCTTCATTATGGACTGCTCAGAGGAGTAGTTCTCTTCCGAACACGCCTCTCTCCTGCAGGGTTATTGTAACCCATTTGCCACTTGTGAGTCTCGGATCTCGGGGCAAATCAAAATGAGTACACCGCATAGTTCAAATCAAGTCTCGTCGCAGATAAATTACGAAATCAGTCAAACAGTCAAATGACCAACTAACCTGGTGCACTCCTCGTCCAAGAGATTCGGATAGGGAGTATAAAATTTGACACCAAATCTAAATAGAAGATCCCGACCGGGGCTGATTTGCCGCAAAATGGGCTTGTCGTGATCAAGCCAACACTAAAAAAGGTAAGAGAAGCCACGGTGAAAGGAATGTCCTCGTATTCCTGGGTTAGCCAAAGACGGACTTTGTATCTTTGCTACCAAATTACGAATGGCGGTGATAACAGCTTACATGAAGGTGTAAAACTGCTCAGTCGACTAACTGGTCATCAAAAGGTAAGTTTCTGAATAGGTTCATCACTTCCAGTTTGATCATTGGTTCAATCCATGATCTGCTTTGCGTCAAGTTCAGAGTTGGTCTATGCTTAACCACCGACTTGGTTACTAATGGATATCACCTCCCAGTAAGCAATAAACTCAAAATATTCGGAGCACCGAGATGGGTCAAAATATCGGAGCGCATGTGCTGCCAGTAAGTGCGGCTAGTTTCGTCTGCATTCAAATTGAAGCTCGGAGTTCAACAGCAGTCATCACATTCGGAATAATATTTTAGTGAGATCTTCATACACTAGTTTACGCGCGCAAGGACCTTCGGAAGAGTTCCAGAGTAGGTATACTGAAATAAGGAATTCCGGGAGGTGTCTCGTGTAACCATTCGTAGTTTTCAAGGTGATATTTCACGGTAAACGGCAAATTCGCATCTAGCCTACATTTATTTGACTAAGGAATACAACTGTCTCCTGGAATAATGGACACCACGAATGTGAAAGAGTCCTAGTCTCTCCTGGCCATGGCTTTTAAGACGAGGATTTCGTAGAAACCAATGGTCGATGTGGAATGTTCCCGTGAAACCGTATGGGTGTGACACACATACGAAGTTGATCACCCGAAATCAAGAGGCTATTCAGTCGATCACATGTGCGGATTTGATGTATCATACAGAGTGTGACCAGGGAGAGTTTACTTATTGTTACTTGCCTTGAAAGTTGGAACGGAATTCGCAGCGAACCTATTCAATGTTGGTAGTTAGACACTGTTTGCCAGTCTTCCTTTAACATATTGGCTCAACTTTGGCTAAAAAAACCATGTCCGAACATTTGCAACTATCTAGATCGGCCGTTTATTTAAAGGTGAATCGACTCGTTCCTCCTTAATTGTCAAAACTGTTTGCCACACCTGTCGGTTCGATCAAAAATCAATATGAGAGTGCATGCCGATGACGTTGATAGGCGACACTGGAGTTCAGCACGCACGCGTCGAATTCCCCAATTCAATGAATAAATAAACTGGTCGATGCGTATTTTCAAACTTCCGGTTTAGCCTTACTACTTATGTTTGCTGCTGATGGAACCCCATTACGGTTCGAACAAAATCACGATCAATATTTTTCGGAAAAGTGAGGTTGATGGTACAACGAGATCAGATGCCGACAAAGCTTCGTGCTGGAAATTTTTGTGCGAGTAAAATAGAAGGCATGGCCCTCTTTAGGTTATTCTGCGAAAGGCGTACTCAGTAGACGACAAATGTGATCGACATCCGGCTAATGGTGAAGAGTTTGCAGGATTTGCCAAGTGACATGAGTTACTACTGTATCCGTGGATCAGTAGTCTCGATTTCAAGCTGAACAGCAGAGAAAGGACGCAATAGTGTTGCCATCATATCGATCTCTTTCGAAAAGTGCTCCTTCTGACCTACTGAAATCGTGCTAGCTCGCCACACTAAGGGGATAGAGCACTGGTCTATTAGCAGAGATTATCAGCCGTCCATTACTCAGTGCCGGGAAATTACACTCGATGGAAAACCCTACTTCGTCATTGTATGCTAGACGAAGTCTGATAAGTCACCCACTTTACTGATTTGACAGGCTTGACCAACACACCCCCATCGTGTCAATTGATTGCTCTCCCTGTCAGAATTCCCAGATTCCTGGACAATGTTCGTGTGACAGTTTATCTCACTAGCATTGTATACGTCCATAGGGAACTCTGATACTTCTAGGTCGGCCAGTTTCTCATGGTTTCCGAACCCAGATTATCCCACACAGATTCGTAGACCGGAAGTCGACCACTACGAGACATCCTTGTGAAAAATCACTTGAGAAAGTCAGCCCATTTTACAACAGAGCCAGTAGTGTTACAACACACGTAGCGTCCGAACGACATATATGGAGAGGTCGAACGAACAAGGCGAATCGATCGACTCGAGTGTTGTCCAATACGCGATTAGATCAGCGGATTAATGTATACAAAACACGCCATGAGATTGGTCTGGACTGTATTCTCGTACGCCTGATGAGATATTGCCCAGGAACTTAAACTGTCTATGAGACATGAGGATCTTTTATCGTGTTACTCTAAGAGATCTATCACTATAGTTAGCTGATTTGTAAAATAGTCGGTAGGAAGCGCGAGTATGGAATAATTCGAGCTGTCTTACAAAAAACCAGACATACAAATAAACCGATTTCAGCTGACTAGAAAACATCCCGCCTTCATGCAACCAGAGATTTGCTAAGCTATAAATGTGCGGAATTAGGATGAGTGTGAACCTTTGTCAGTGACACGTGACGGGTAAAATTGACTTGCCCGTAAAGTGGGTTCGTCCAGGTCGGTATCAAGCGGATCTTAATAACGACAAGGTACCACTTTGCCCAATAAACGTGAAAGGAGCCTAGAACAAGCTGATTAAAATGACTATCTTTTGATAGGGGGATGCTGAAGTAAACTGCTTCAAATGCTTTGACAGGTAGTGTTTCTGATGTGTCTGTAGCATCAAGTCCAAAGGATAAACTGATTAATTCGTCGTAATGAAAAAATTTAACAAAAGGCAAAATAGCCTGACGAACTTTGACACCTATGTGTTAGTTCTCCTAATTTTGTCGCTTGAGCTAAGCCACTTTCTGTGGGGCCAAATCATCAGTCGCTCTAACCGGCCAGGGCCACTTCCGCTATGAAGGAAAGGAAATTTCTTACTCTGAGGAAAATGCGACTTGAAGCCCACTACACACACCCATCTTAATATCTCCAAAAATCTAACAAATACAACCAATCAGATTCCAGGAGACAATCGATAGAACACAACTCCTTAGGAGGTTTTGCAATTGCTTAGTCCGAAGCATTCAAAGGTTGGAGTATCGAAATAATGTAGTGGAAATGCAGCGACCCGGAGGTCTGAACACTTACGCGCATCCCCTCGTCATTCACGTATTCCAAGTCAAAGTAGTCGGATTCGAGCAAATGAAGCCGATCGACCATGGAAGCGTGAAGTTCTTGTCCCGTTGCGTGAACCTAATTCAGAGAACGGAGGGGGGTAATGGAATTTGTACTCAACTGAATAACTAAGTTGAATAATGAAGAGATTTCAGCTACTCCTGAAGGCATCCTACTCCTCACGAAGTAAGCAGCAATCAATCTGCTGCAACACACTTTCGGTTTATGAGTACCGCGCCACCCAGAAGGACGATAAATTAGTCGGAGCCTTTACCGGTGTTGGATACTCCGCCAGTCATTGAGCTTTGGATGCAGCATGAGATTCTACCCACCAATCATTCCTATCAGGAGCAGCAAGGCGTACGACAGGGAGATGGTGCCTAGCTGCCAAAACACAACTAAAAGGCGGAAATGCAGAGACGTGTTCAGCAAGTTAGTGAAAATGGGTTCTGTAAGACCGTAGCAGGGACGGCTGAGTGTAGTGACTAAATTTCAAAATATGAATAGCGTAGAAATCAGATGGCTTCAACTTGTTAGTTTGGTCATAGTTTAAATCGATCAACCCTAAAGTTTAGCACATATAATGTGTCAAGATAAACTGATCATCATGGGTAAGAAACAAAGGGACAATAGTTTTCCTGAATTTCACTTTCCATAGATTTTCGAAGAATACAGCATTGGGGTACATCTTGTGTGCAACATCTGCAGTAATTCATACGCTTCTAAAAATGTGAGTATATTCTGAACAAGTCTGTCCAAAATCAGCGAGATTCTGAAATTGATAGCGCATTGACACATATGTGAAACGATTCAGTAATAATTGTGTTCACTTTTTATCACTCCACCTAGTATTCACCAAAATATTTCTGTCAAGTAATGTGGCATCTTTTTGGAAGCCCCCACGTGGAATCATATCCTAAGTTTTATTCAAAAAATCTTTCAGCTGTAGCACGCTTTTGGTGCCTAGGTTCCATGCCACGCGAAGGAAGCACGAGGGCTGGGATACTGCGAGGATGCCCAATCCTAGACAGGGGAAATCGAGAAGCAGAGTTTGGGTTCGAACCACGGACCTTCTGGTCAATAAATTCGCGCTCTATCCACTGACAGACTATCCCCACACAAAGTGGTCGCACTTCATCCTGAATATGTATAGATAACAAGACTAGTACACGCTAAGCAAGATCAATGCTAGGTGTACATTAGCCGTCCAGTAACTGAAAGGATAACCTGTCTACAACAAAAACCAAGTACAAAACATTGAGGGTGAATTAAGTTCATTGAAAGTGATTATGGCTTACCGACAGCTGAAACGTGTGTACAGTATCATCCAAGTGTAGAACCTTCAACTGCATCTTACGCAATCCTCGGCCGGCACACTGAACTTCCATTTTGGTGCTTTTTTGTTAGAAAGCCAGTCTCCAAGACATCGATATGGCTGAAAACAGAAACTTTTTTTCAATAACATCCAAGAGCCGACAAATGGTTAAATCGAATTCAAATCCCCTTCAGTATCTCCGAAATTTGAACAGGGAGCCCGTTCAGAGCCACCCTGCTCCTTGATAACAGAAACCAATCGGTTTATAACTACTATACTGATCGATGACAATGAACTTTGGGAAGAAGTCCTTGAAAACAGACGGGTGCATGGAGACCCGTGAGTACGGTGTCCCCAGGTGATCACTTAAAAATGGTAGGGCTCCTGATATCACAGATAAAACATTCACCGATAAACTTTCCGGATATCGGTTAGTTGTCTTCGCAGTTAACTGACACAAAGGCTCTCCTGGATTAAGCGAGCCGTTCGTATCTATTCACCTTCTAGGTTGCAAACAGTATTTAGGTAGGTTTCCTTACGCCACACTCTTTCAGGAC